CCATTGGAGAACGATTTGATGTGGCTAAGTCTACTTTATGGGTATGTTTTCATAGAGTCGTCAAGGCACTGAATGAAATATCCACCAGGTTAATTCAATGGCCAAATCCTCAGCGAAGGATAGAGATAGCCAATAACTTCTTGAACTTTGGTGCAATTCCAAATGTGATTGGTGCTCTAGATGGAACATATGTACCCATAAAAGCACCTAAAGAGAATCCGGAGGTTTATGTGAACCGAAAGTGCTTTCATGGCATTACCTTACAAGGCATATGTGATAGTTCCTTAAGATTCCTCCATGTATTTACTGGCTACCCCAGTTCTGTTTCTGACATCAGAATATTTCGGAACTCAGACATTCACAATAGAATTTTAAATAATCCAGAGGAATACCTCAATCCAGAGCAGATTTTATTAGGGGATAAAGCCTACCCTATACAGGGTGGTCCTCCGGGAATGACATCAATTGCTTATGGGAAAACTGTGAAAGGTAAAAATTTGAAAATTTGGCAACATAGCAATGTCGATGGGGGACATCCAGGTAAAATATTTTCAAGATGGCGGCATTTCCGGTCATACCGGAAGTTGATACCAACTCGGTTATTTTAAATAGAACACCCCGTATATTAATGTATTTTTGGATTCTAAGGAAAATTCTAAATACATTTCATGTACGATGTCCTATACCTAAGTCTATCCGTTTTTGACATATTTAAGTTTTTATGTAAAAAATTACGTTTGCAGACCCTAAAATAATTGTCAATTTTTCCTATAAGGAAGCCTTTATTCTTTGATTGAACCTTGATTCCTTGTTGAAAAGGACCTATTTTATTAGATTTTCATTATGTTTTGATAACTTTTAATACAGGGTGCTTAAAAAATAAGATTAAAAATAAAGTTGAGAAAACTTCCAAAAATCAATTTTTTCAAATGGAAACCCCAAAATTTTATAATTTTATCTTGTTAAGCATTAAAAATAAAGGTAAGTTTGTGTAAGGTTATCTATTCCGAAAATGTTTAGTTTTCGAAATATTGCCAATTTAATATTTTTATATGGCAATTTTGCTCTAAAAATAATAACTGAACGCACCCTTGCGCATGACAGAATGTCAAGCAGAACGTGCATGTCCTTGTCACAAAAATTGAAATAATTTTCGATAATAATCATGCCGGGAAGATTAAATTATACAAATGAAGATTATTTAAAGGACCCCGCACACCTCTTATGGGTTTTTGGTTTCAATGAAATTTTGATATGTGTTAGACCTTGACTTCCTGATAAAAAGTTCTCATGGGCCCGAACCAATTCTATGATTAGTTTTTGAGATACAGGTACTTTTATGTCCAAGAAATGTATACATTTTATATGTATTCACATCTACCTGTCACCTAATAATAGTTCTGTTTCTGCAAAAATCACAAACTTGTCAGAGCGAATTTGATTGGTCGAAAACAGTCAGAAACAGTCAGAAAACTAGTTACAACCAATGAAATTCACTCTGATAGACCTAATAATAGGTGACAGGTAGATGTGAATGCATATAAAATGTGTACATTTCTTGAACATTAAACCACCTGTATTTCGGAAACTAATCATAGTATCGGGTTGGGCCCATGAGAACTTTTTATCAGTAAGTCAAGATATACCACATATCAAAATTTCATTGAGTTTGACAGAAAACCAAAAACCCATAAGATGTGTGCGGGGTCCATTTATGGAGAATGTAATAAAGTTATTTCAAGAACATGTGATACATTTGCGAACCGATATTCGCAGAAACAGAAACCAAGTGAAAAACTGTTAAAAGAATTTTAGAAAACTTCAAGAACTTTGGATCCGTCAAAGCTAAAGTACATAGAAATAAACCAGTTGTTAACAATGAAAAAAGTTACAAAAATTATTTTAATAAATGTTCAAATTGATGGCCTTGAACTTCGAGACATTTTTCGCACCTACGGAGGAATTCTTCATGGGTGGCTCTTCTATTATTGACTGAGGATTAAGGCCTTCAAATGCTGTTCTGACTCGCCGCTTGCAGTCTTCCATGGTGGTTAATGCGGTGTTATAAACTCTATTTTTGACTGTTCCCCAAATGAAAAAGTCGAGTACTGTTAGGTCGGGGGAGCGAGGTGGCCAAAGATGTGGCCCATCGTTGGCTATCCATTGGTCATAAAACAAGTTTTGCAAATGGTTGTTGACTAAATGACCATTATGTGGAGGCGCCCCATCATGTTGATACAATAGATTTCTACGGTCGGCTAGTGGGAAGTTGTCTAAATAGTTGACTTCAAAATTTCTAATGATGTTGAGATAGCGCTCACCTATAAGTGAAAGAATGGATTTTATATCTAGAAGGCTTCAAAAATAGGTATAGTTTTTCCAAAGTCACTTGGAACAAGGTAACAACTGGTGACTGACTGGTCACTGAACATTCTCATAAGAAATGTACTGCCACTAGTCTGCCACCAGTTATGATCTACTTTTACCTTGTTCCAAGTGACTTTGGTAATACTATAGCTCACCATTTAGATTTTCTTGATAGAATTCTAGTGCCACGACCCCGTCATTTCTTATGGCACAATAAACGTTAAACTGCCACAATTCTTGAAAATTTAATTCTCTAAATAGATGTAGGTTTGAGTCGCTCCAATAATGCGAATTGTGTCGATTGAACATCCCGTTTTTTGTGAATTTAGCTTCGTCCGACCAAATAATGTTATCAAAAAAAACGCATTTTCTTGTGACCGAATTAACATGAAATCACAGAACTCCACTCTTCTTGGAAAATCAGTCTCTTTTAAATTTTGTACTGTAGATAATGCGTATGGATGAAACTTATGTTTCCATAAAATTCTTAGAACTGATGTTTTAGATAATCCTGATTCTAATGCTACTTGCCTTGTAGATATTGTTGGATTTACGGCAAAATATCACAAAATTGCGATTTCAATATTTTCATTGTTAACAACTGGTTTATTTCTATGTACTTTAGCTTTGACGGATCCAAAGTTCTTGAAGTTTTCTAAAATTCTTTTAACAGTTTTTTCACTTGGTTTCTGTTTCCGCGGATATCGGTTCGCAAATGTATCACATGTTCTTGAAATAACTTTATTACATTCTCCATAAATAATAAATAAATTTAAATAATCTTCATTTGTATAATTTAATCTTCCCGTCATGATTATTATCGAAAATTATTTCAATTTTTGTGACAAGGACATGCACTTTCTGCTTGACATTCTGTCATGCGCAAGGGTGCGTTCAGTTATTATTTTTAGAGCAAAATCGCCATATAAAAATATTAAATTGGCAATATTTCGAAAACTAAACATTTTCGGAATAGATAACCTTACACAAACTTACCTTTATTTTTAATGCTTAACAAGATAAAATTATAAAATTTTGGGGTTTCCATTTGAAAAAATTGATTTTTGGAAGTTTTCTCAACTTTATTTTTAATCTTATTTTTTAAGCACCCTGTATTAAAAGTTATCAAAACATAATGAAAATCTAATAAAATAGGTCCTTTTCAACAAGGAATCAAGGTTCAATCAAAGAATAAAGGCTTCCTTATAGGAAAAATTGACAATTATTTTAGGGTCTGCAAACGTATTTTTTTACATAAAAACTTAAATATGTCAAAAACGGTTAGACTTAGGTATAGGACATCGTACATGAAATGTATTTAGAATTTTCCTTAGAATCCAAAAATACATTAATATACTGGGTGTTCTATTTAAAATAACCGAGTTGGTATCAACTTCCGGTATGACCGGAAATGCCGCCATCTTGAAAATATTTTACCTGGATGTCCCCCATCGACATTGCTATGTTGCCAAATTCTCAAATTTTGACCTTTCACAGTTTTCCCATAAGCAATCGATGTCATTCCCGGAGGACCACCCTGTATATAAATGGCTTATACCTCCATTTATCAACAGGGGAAATCTTAATGCTGTGGAAAGACAGTTTAATATTGTACATGCATCGCTACGTCAATGCATTGAAAGATGTTTTGCACTATATTTTGGAAGAATGAGAAGAATGCAATATTTAGACATGAATAGGTTTGATTTATATCCCTACGTCATCAAAGCAGCTTGTGTTATCCACAATTTGTGCCTTATACGAAATGATGAACAATTAGAAAATTATATTTTGGAAGGACTTCCAAGAGTCAGGCAGAACCAAAAAGAAAACCATTTACACAATAATCTTGTAGGTGCGGATTTAGTCGCATTAGCCAATGAAGGAAGAATTAGAAGAGAGCAAATCGCAAGAAATCTGGATAGAATCAATAGAAGAGAATGAAAAACAATTTCATATTTGTGATCAATTATAGGTACTTATATCAATAAAATATTATGGTGTTACGCATATTTTGTCTCTATTTTATTTATTTTCATAATAGAAAAAATTAAAACACAATCATTTTATTCGCTATGAATTTATTTTAAAAAAAAAATTACATCAGCCTATTATTTCTCCTTTTTGTTTTGTTCTAAAAGAAAAAAAAACGAAACCCAATATCTTAAGGGATTTTCTCAGGTCCACTTTTTTAAAATTGGTTCAAAACAGGTTTGAGTGGAGCAATGGGGTTTCCATTAACTGTTTCAAACAGGTTTTGAACCAATGTAAAAAAAGTGGACGCGAGAAAACGGCTTTAATGTCCAAATATCATAAATAAATAAAAAAATTCAAACAACATAATATAACTTAAACCAACGCTTAAACATAAGGACACAGCATATAATATTACCTCGAATATAACACTTACTTTTTGGTTTGGTACTATAATGGCTGTTTGCACTGAACATTTCGAGAGAGGCTTAACAATAAGTATCGTTAAGCATCCCTTGAAATGGTCAATGTAAACAGCCATAAATCACTAAAATAAACTTTCGATTCTATAAAAGCTAACATTTTCATAAATACCTAATAGGTAACTTGAAACTAAAGAGAAAAGCCTGAACAAAAAGAAATGTAGAAACACTAATTACCTACTTCTTTGGTTCAACAATATTTTGAGCCAAATCGAGTATCTGGCGACATAAATCTAAGGCTTCATTTTTTTTCTGCAAATTTTCCTGGTGCCTTCTTTCTGCATTTGTCTCTCTTTCCGAGAGAATTTTTATAACAGGCTTCTCCTTGTTTACTAATAACTTCCTTTTCTTTTTGCCAGGTATATTTTCATCATCATTTTCCTCATTTTTTTCACAGTTTTCCTCTGCTGGAAAATTGTTAGTGAATGAAGAAACTATGGCCACTGGGGTGACATTGTGGTCATCTTTGAAAATTACATCCATTTCATTAAAAAATTGAAAATAAATCTTTTGGGAGCCTGTAGCTCTAGTAGACATATTGTCTTTTTTTTTAAATACATTGATTTCAGGTACTTAAATTTATTCCGACACTGATCGGCAGACTTATTGCACTCCATTTGCTGCTTCATTTTTTTCACAAATTTCTCCCCAAAACACATCTTTTCTGGTCGTTGTAGATTTGAATAAATCTTGATTTTGTCTGTATAAATCGATGAGTAGAAGGATCTCACCTCGAGTCCATACCGATCTTTCCGAGGATCTTTCTACCTCTGTAGTAGTTGAGGTGGAGGGCTCAGTGCTAGTAGAGGGTAATGATAATGATTCATTTTGAACATTCACTAAAAAATTTAAAAAAAGAAAAATTGGAATAAACGGATTAAAAAAAAAGTCCAATAAATAGAAACTTACGTTTCACAGGAGATTTTTGGATATGGATACTGTTCATGTTCTTCAATTTGTTTAAATTTACAGAGTTACCTGAAATAATCAAGAAAATAATGTTAAATAAACGTAGGTAGAGAATATAATAGTTGTTGCAGGTAAAATATGCGGATGGTTGCACAAAAAAGGATTTTCCATCCTTTGAGTTTCTGACAAAAATAGGTATTTTGAGTTTACCTTGATTGTTACTCACCGATAGATGTTTTTGGGGTAGTCAAAGCAATTTTCTTGGCTTCTTCTTTTGGTGAGTGAGCCAAGGTTTGGGTTGGTTGATTAAAGCAAGCCCTAGAATGGTTTAACAGGGCGCTAGCGTATGCTTGATCTGAAACATAACATGCCCTAAGCTTTACATCATCATTCAGTTTCTATATAGGCACTTATTTGAGGGGTTGATCATAACTACTCAAAAGAAAAAAAATTGAACTAACCATTGCAGGCCTTAATATAATCCTCTTGATCCAATGCGATTACGTATGTCCTGTTGAAATCGGGATCATAGGTTCAAGTTTGAACTCCATGATGTTCATTTAGGCTTAATTGAACATTGAACAATAAACAAAACCAAAACACGGCACAACCAGAAAACTGAAAGTGAAAAGACAACACAGAAAGACATTAAAGACAACAGCAACAGCTGTCATGAATTTTGAAATAAACAATCAAACTGCGCATGTCGGGCAACATTCATCCACCTCGCGTGTTGGATAAACTGGCAAGTCGTGCGGCGTTTTACCTTGCCTTATCTGAACGCTGGCAAAACTGACCCAGGGTTGAATCTGAACGGCTTTGGATGTGTCGGACGTCGCCCGACGATTAATTTGAACGCAACCCAGCAGTTAGAGGTTTTTTTGTTAGGCAAAATAATGTCCTAAACAGATCTGGATTCTTAATCATCTCGTCTAATACTCCACAAGTGTTCAATCCAGAAATGAATTGTTTCAAGGGCTCCTGAATTCTGCGATAGGCATAAAATTTCAAGGTGTCTACGAAATCAAAATTACATTAATTTATTGCAAAGGTTAATACGTGAATAAAATAAATACCTTGTAGAATACGTTCTTTGTCATCCAACTTTTCAATGAAATGGCATCCTGCAGTAGGAAATATGGAATCGGATAAAATCATATCTCGTAACTTAAACAAATCCGTTTCACTCTGAAACAGATCTACTTTCTCTTTTATATCAGGTTCCAGATCTTCGCATCTTAAAGTTGTGTTCTCTATCCCATATGTAACCAATGAATACAGGGTCTCGGAGAAAAAATGGGGCCCAGTGCCGCCGTGAACAAGTGAAAGAGATATAATCCTCCCGGCCTCATAATAGTACTGTTCATGTAATGCTTTGCTGTCTAGTGATATGTGCTTCATCTCGTTTCCCGTAAAAAGATTACTGTTGGACAAAAACTTCAAAAGAAGTCGAAACATCTCTCGCTTTGGACCTCCTTCGTCAATGGCACCTTCAGTTTTCTCTTCAATATCTGTGAAATTTACATAAATTATGTTGAACGGTTTAAAGTTTTTGCGTCGGAATGCACGTAGACAGCAGCCAAAAATGTCTTTTCTGTAAACGTTTATCTTCGTAATATTAACTGAACTAATCCTATTTTGTAAGTTAGTTAGTATCTGTTCTAATGACTGCACGTCAGGTGTTAAAAACGTGGCAAGGTTTTCCTCTATGTTGGGAAGGCTTTCTTCAATGTTAGGTTCATTATTATAAGTGTCATCCAGTATGCTGTTCACCAGTACAGTAAGTTCGTCTGGACCAGAATCGCCTAACGCAAACGTTTCTTCTCTTACTTCGGTGCCCAAGGATGTTGTGGAGGTTAATGTTTCAGATCCCATGCCCTCATAAGACACTGACGGCATATTGCATGACTTAAACGTAAAATGTGTAAGCAATAGGCTTATTAACAATTAAATGTATGCAATTTGAAAATTAAAATTTTTACTTACATCTCGATTATCCTGATGCAAAAGAAGTTCCTGACAAGCTGCCGATGCTCCATAGTCACTTCTATCATCTTCCTCAGAAGAAAATTGAAATTTGTTGCGTTTGCGTTTTCCTCTTTTGGGCTGTAAGGCAGAAATTTCAGACGATTCTTCATTTAAATTTCTGGTTGCCAAATAAAATCGAAGCTTCGTTAAGGCCGTCAGTTCAAAATACTGTTTAACTGTCAAAGTCTCGTCTAGTGCATTTAGTTTAAAATCAACTAAGAGTACCGATGCAAAGTCGGATATTTTGCCCTTGGGTGATATTCCGCCAGGAAAAAAAAGTTCTATTGCTTTCTCTCTCAATAGGGACACCTTAGCGGATTGTTCTACTTGAATTTGCCGAGTGCCACCACCTGATAATTTTCGTACCTGACGAAATTCCTCAGTGTCACTGGCGTACATCCAACCCAACTCAATAATTCTCGTGGTTTTTTTTGAAGCAGTTTCTTTTTTTTGATGATTCACCAAAGTGTGCAGCATTCCTTTCTTGTATCTTGGATTTTAGTCGGTCGATAAGGCTTTGCTTCTTAGGCATCACTTCCCGGCGAAAAAAATGAAGGACTGCTAATTGGTCCCCAGCTTTGGGAAAAATCTCTTGTAATTTGTTGTCGTCCATTATAATGACCGTCGCTGGGTCAATCTGTAATGCAGAGTAATACCTAGTATTACCATTCTATACTTTGAATCCTTGCGCGACTTAACAATTTGTTACCGAAGTAGCATCACAATTGAATTATTGGGTGGTATATGCTTTTCAGATATTATTGACGTACCATTATCCATGGACATTTGACAGGTTGACCCTCCTATAATAATGCCATTTGATGACAAAGTATTATTTTTTATCCCATTTTGACGTTTAAAAATGACATTATTGAACGCATAACAATATAGGTAAGTAGACGTTTATTTTTTCGAAGAAAATTAACCCACTCGCTAGGGCTCGTGGGTTAAACTTTCTTCTCATGAATAAAAATTCATTTAACTCACTTGGTGTATAAATAACTATTATTGATACCCTATTTCACTTATTTAAAGTACTCCTCAGCGTGTTTAAATCCAACTTTCAAAAACGCGCGTGTTTTAAAGTTACCAATGATAACATCAACAACCAACAACCCGAGAAAGGTCTAAATGTCAACTTTTTAATTATTGATTTGTCAGGAGTAGGTTAGGTACTTGTAGATAACGTCAAATAAAATGTAACAAGTGTCAAGCACAAATTTGCATTCTACAATTATTAGAAATTTATGATTTGAACGTATACCAATAAAAAAAAATAGTGTAAAGTATTCGTGGATAACTGGTCTTTAAAACACTTGCGCGTGTTTTAAAGACCTTAATATCCACTTATACTTTAATATACTATTTTAAATAGACCTATCTATTTTACCAGACAAAGAGGTAACTTTTCAAGAAACATAAGGGTTTTCTGGACTCTTGTGCTGGTGATTTTTTAGCCTAGGTCTAAATAAAATCGATTTTCCTAATAATGTTTCAGTTTTGGAATCCTTAGTTATTGTACACCTAAATGTTTAATGTATAAGGAATAAGTTATTAAATTTGGAATCTTCAAATTTTAACGCAGATATTTTTTGTTTTAGCGAACACTGGTTACTTGATCATGAAGCAATAGTCATGAAAATTATAAATTATAGTGTTGTTTCCTATTACTGTCGAAAAGAGCATTCTCATGGTCATGGAGGGGTAGGGAATGTAGAGATTGCTATTAAACAATCCTTAGCACACACTTTCAAAGGCAGAGATGACATAAATAGTCTATCACAGGAAATGCATTGTGAGGTATGTGCAGTCCAATCAAATAAACTAAAACTTATTGTAATAACATACTACAGACCTCCATCTGGAAATTTTGATTTTTTTTAAAATATATTTTCGAACAAATTGTGCAAAAAATAAGATCAACAAGATATGATATTCGAATAAATGGAGACTTCAATGTTAACTTTCTGTCGCATGATAGTAAAGCAGTTTCTCTTTTGCATCTAATAAATACATTTGGGTTTTGTGGTTTTGTACGGTTATCTCTACACCAACGCGCGGAGGTTCATGCATAGACAATGTTTTTGTTAATTTTAATGTCTCTAGAGAGAGGGCATATACAAGGTATTTGAAAATATCAGACCACCCAGCTCTTTATGCAGAAATAACTTTGAAGCATTCATTACAAGATACAGAACAGGTTCATAAAAGCCGAACAATCACAGAGTAGGACATTTTCAATCTGTATGGGTTAGTTGATTCCATGGATTGGGATTTTGTAAACTCGGGATTAATCTCAACTGATGACAAATTCTCTCTTTTTGTCAACCTTCTCAAAAATAATATTGAATTAGCTTTTCCGGAAATTGAAATCACTCATAATAAAAAATACATTAAATGGTATAATGATAGTCTGCGCGAACAGAGAGAACTTTCGCAATTTGTTTCAGAAGCAGCCAAACAGAAAAATTGTCCTATTCTGGCACAATTAAAACAGTCTCTAAAAAAAAATTACCAAATTTCCATACAAGAAGCCAAAAAAAGGGATCATTTTTCCTATCTACAAAAGCATCATTTCAACCCGAAAACGATATGGGAGTTGGTGGGAGAAAACTCTAATATCACAAAACAAAAATGCCTCCAAAACAGCAACAATTTCTCTCCAACTGACTATAATCTTTATAATACAGGGTGTCCTTAGATTCTTATATAAACTGACATATAAAACGGGAAAAGATAACGAGATGAGGTTTGTTCTGGGAGAATAGGGATTTTTTAAAGTTTTTTTCCACATTATTACCGAATCCTGAAATTTGCGAAAATTTGGTTTTACAAACATGCGATTTTTTGAAATAAAATTACTGCCTTATTTTTAATGAAACACCCTGTATCTTTTGTCATCGTTAAAAAGCCTGATTTCTCTACTTTACAAAAATGTATAATTTTTTTCTATTATCTTGAACTTGGATCATGAAAATTGCACTTTGTCGAAGGGAATACCATCGACTAACCAAAAAAAAAAAGATAATTAATTCGTGCTTAATACTTTTATTAACTAATTAGCGCATAGTTAACTAATAATACAAGTATTAAACATAAATAAGTGCATATAAAACACAAATTAATAATTATCTTTTTTTTTTTGGCCAGTCGACGGTACGCTCTTCAACCAATTGCAATTTTTACGATTCAATTTCGTGATAATTGAAAAAAAGCATACATTTTTGTGAAGTAGAAAAGTCACGCATTATGACGATGACAAAATATACCGGGTGTTTCATCAAGAATAAGGCAGTATGTAATTATTTCAAAAAATCGAATGTCTGTAGTTGAGGGTTACTGATTGATTCTCAGCGAATAAATTGAGTATGAATGAATCAAAAAATGGCAGCCTAGTAATATCCACGAGGGAATTTGAATTGCTACATAATAGTCTAGGAGGCAGTGACGATTTTCGGTACTTATTTTCCCAGTCACTAAACATGGATAGAATTGTAGGGTTAGTAATTCTAAGCACAATTCATATATACAAGGTGTCCCACGGTGGATGGCGTATTAGACGTTTATGGAGAACTAAAAAGCGGATCATTTTGAAAATTTGGCAACCGGGATAAACGACCATGATCTACACTTTAAAAATATTTTTGACCATGCGGTGTTGCCGCTTCTACTCTAAACTAGTGGCAACATCGCTATTTTAAATAGATTAAATAGTATGTGATTGCATATTTGGATTCTATGTAAAATTCTGAGCAGATTTCATGTAATATACCCTATACCTAAGTTCAACTGTTTTGGAAATATTGACAATTGAAAATTGACTTTTTGCAACTTTGACAGGCTGTAAAACCGAATTGGTTAATTTTAGAGGAAAACCGATTTCACATTCCTATCTTAGATTTTGATAAACTATCAGTTGACACCAACTTTGAACTTAACCGGAGATTAAATTCAACTGAAATTTTTGATCATGGATTTAATTCAAAGTTGGTGTCAAATGATAGTTTATAAAAATCTAAGATAGGAATGTAAAATCGGTTTTCCTCTAAAATTAACCGTTCAGGTTTTACAGCCTGTCAAAGTTGCAAAAAGTCAATTTTCAACTGTCAATATTTCCAAAACAGTTGAACTTAGGTATAGGGTATGTCACATGAAATCTGCTCAGAATTTCACGTAGAATCCAAATATGCAATCACATACGGGGTGTTCCATTTAAAATAGTGATGTTGTCACTAGTTTAGAGTAGAAGCGGCATCACCGGATGGTCAAAAATATTTCTAAAGTGTAGATCATGGTCATTTATCCCGGTTGCCAAATTTTCAAAATGATCCGCTTCTTAGTTCTCCATAAACGTCTAATACGCCATCCACCGTGGGACACCCTGTATTTAGGGGGGGTTTTCCGATGGGTTGAGGCACAAAATGCGTTAGAGCTTACGAATGCCGGCCTTTTTTTTTTCAGTGATAAAAATAGCTCTACTAATGAGGAGTATACTGAAGTTACGTGAAAAAATAGTCCAGCTAATTGTGAGTATGGATAATACGTCTGGCAAGTGAAAAATTGAAGATCCGAAAATCTTCAGCCAGACTAACTTTCCACCATCTGAAATAAGCCAAATTGCTATGTTGATATACTTTATGTTCTATTGTAGTAAATGTGAAATATTTATGACTGGGAAAATAAGTATGCTTGTATTTTTCAGTGATCTTGTGAACCCATCCGAAACATTTTGCGAAAGTCAAATATTCTTGTTTTGTATCACCAAGAGAACAAACTATTTAATATACATCAACTGGGAAAATAAGTGCTGAAAAATTTCACTGCCTCCTGGACTATAATGAGTCAGTTATGTTCCTGGGAATGAGTCCCCTCGTTTTTATTCTCATCGGTGACTTCACCGATGAGTTAGTTATCTTTGTTTAGTGAATGGAAAATGACAATGACGGCCATAGAATGGTCAATGAACTATAAACTACACGTATTTGGAATGGCACCGACTGTTGTCGCATATGGCATTTGTATGGCATTTGTCATCTCGCTTAGTGCGTCCAAAAAAGCTACATAGTGGGGGATCCCTTTCTCTCTCCAGTTCATTGCTTTTAGGTTTGGTATATTCCTAACCTCAAATATATTATTTTTTAGACAAAGAAAGATTTCCATAATTCGCCGATAAGATAAATAGAGATAGGTTTACCCCGCATTCTCCATCTCAATTTGCCGCAAATTTATGGATCGGCGGGCCATTCCAGGTACGTGCAGTTTATAGTTCATTGAGAATGGTGGATCCATTAGTAAAATTTGATGAGAATAAAAACACAGAAAGTATTGACGCAAAGTTGACATGGATTCCACATGTCAATAACACATGTGCCAAAGTGGCGTCAGGAGTCTATGCACTCAGAACAATGATGGAGAGTGTTTCCGAGCAAGCAGCACGGGCCACCTTTTTTGCTTGTGTCCAGTCAAAAATATATGGA